TAGTCTGACCCTGAAGTTAACCCGCACTGGGATCTGACTGACGGCGGTTCCCTTCCGAGAACTCCTCGGGGGGCTGAGGTCCCTGTGAACTGTGCGCCGCTTGGCTCACTGCGTTTTTAGATTTCCCTGATATCTTGTTGCCTTCCAGCACCCCAACCTGAATTTAATTGATCCCTAACATCTGGTTAGATTTCTTTTCTGTTTTGTTTTGTCTTTTGAGACAAGGTCTCACTGTGTAATTCAGGCTGGGCTTGAACTCACTGTGTAGCTCAGGCTATGCATGAACTTGTGGCAATCCTCCTGCCTCAGCCTCCCAACTACCAGGATTACAGGCGTGAGCTACCATGCCACCTTAGATCTTTTTAAAAAACACAATTGCTCGTTATTTTTGCCCAAGTCCAGCTCCTACAGGAGGTGACAAGTCCCTCAAGGCCAGCCAGCCTTTCACCATGCTGAGTTCATGCTCCCTAAACATTGGTTCTGTTGCTGAGTCCTGTTGAACTCGATGTGGTTAAGGTCCTTCCGAGGTGCCAAGGCATTCTTCTGAATATCTCCACGTGGCCAGTCTGCGCCCAGGGGTGGATGCAGCTTCAGAAAAAGTCATTTCTACACCATGCTGGTGAATGAATTGAGCGATGCCAATCCTGTTCTATAAATACATTTACAAGACCGATTTTCCCGCGCGGTTCCTAAGCCAGGTCTAGCTGCCATTCCCCAGGAGCAAGCCAAAGAGTCTCCTGAGGAGCGCCTGAGTGAGGAGGCCAAAGTGGGCTCCGCGGCTCAGCCTGCATGGAGCTGTCACGCTCAAAGTGGCCACTAGAGGGGGGCCGTGCTTCAGACCCCACGGTCGCAGCCTCCACGGTCGCTCCTGGAGCTTTTATAAAGAGTTCCTGCGGGAGCTGCTGCAGGCCACTCAGTCAGAACCTCACAGACCTGCCCGGGCCTCCATGGGACATTTCTAGGTCGCCGCCGGAGGCTGACAGGGACGGGGCACGGCGCCAGGGGTCCCAGGTGCAGACCTCCACCCGCTGGAGTCTTGCCACCCAGCTTGGTCCTGCACAGGGACCAGCCCTGGCCTGAGACAAGTCGCGGCAGCCCACAGCCTGTTTCTATGACTCCATCTGCACCCGGCTGGCTGCGGGCACGAGCTCCAAGGGGCTGCCTGGCTCTCGGCGGGACCGCAGCCCGCTCTCCAGCCACCGCGGCGAATGCTGGGAGCTGAGCGCCAGGCTCTGTGGCCTCAGCGGGGGCGTCAGGTGAGTCCTGGTTCTAACCTTGTCCAGGCATCTACCTGGGTGTGGGATCCTTGTTGGCAGCTCCGGCCAGCTGGCACCCTAGCTCTGGAGCCTGCTGGGGAGTAGGTGGGACAAGGGACAGCCTCCCTCTGATGGCTGTGTGTACACGTGTGGCGCGCAGTGCAACAGGTGGGGCCCTTGGATTCCTGCGTTTGTTTATAAAACATCTGCACTTCTCCAGCTGCGGGTTACAGTTTAGATTCCCTAAGTACAGTCAGAGGAGCAAAGAGTGTAAAGCCTTCTTAGCAGTTCTCTCTCTGGGCCACATTCCTAATGATTTTCACTTGGTTTTGCTGAGTGAGACCAGGTAAATCAAAGAAAGCTGCGAGCCCTGCAGAGGTAGAGGCTGGACCCATCTTTAGAGGAAGGCACCGCCTTGGCAGGAAGAATTCCTCCCGTCCTTCTGCTACCCGGAGGAGGACTTTGGAAGCCAGGGTCCCCGCACTGCATTCACAGTTGCTCTTTGCAAAGTGAATGCTACATAGTTTGGTTTTTTTGGGGGGGGTGCAGGGGGACGCTGAGCGGCGGAAGGAGGTTCTCACCACACTGAGGCAGTAACTGCCTGGCGTGGCCTCCTGGTACAGCCCTCCCATGGGCCGTGACGCTCCCCTACCTGCACGGACCCCGAATCATACAGGTGACGCACAGGGCTGTGTTTCCCAGGTGGCTGAGGAGAGGTGGAGCCGGGCTAGTGCCGTGGTCCTCTGAGTGTCCCAGGCCTACTGGGCTCATAGAATGGGTCCAGGGGACCAAGCGCTTTTGCAGCTTTCAGCTGCAGAGTCTGGGAGAAGAACTCGATCTCTAACCTGCCCTGTAAATGTCTCCGGTACCATTACCTGGGAGTGAGCCCTTCCCCAGAGAAATCCGTGGAGCACCCCTGCCTGCTTGCAGGGCAACCTCACTCCAGTTCCAGGCTGAGGTCCAGGCTCTGCAGGTTTTGTCCCCAGATCCCTGTGGCCTCCACACCCAGCACATATTTCCCCTCCCAACCCTCAGAGCCTCCTTTGGTTCTGGGCCCCTACCTGCTAGAGAGTGCCGCTGGCCCTGTGGGTGTGACCCTCTTCGTTGCCTGGTCTGGGATTCTGAAGGTGGCAAAGCACCTGCAGCTGAGCCAGTGCTTCGTGGGAAGCCCCTGCCTGGTGTGTCCTCCGCCCTGTCCACTGGTTCTTTCCTCTTGGGTCTTGGTTGGCTCATTTTAAAATGGGAACCATGGAATGACAATGAGCCTGCCTGTCCCCCAAAGTACTCTTGGGAGGAGCCCTCAAGACCATGCCAGGGCAAATAGTCTGAGCCCTTCGGCCCTGGGTACAAGCCAGCAGCTTGTAATGTGGCCATCACACTGCACAGTCAGCTACACCTTGCCCTGGAGCACAGACTTGGCCCAAAGCTCCCCATGACAGAGAAACAGTCCCCAATAAATTCAGGACAGCAGAACAAAATGCTTAGCTCTCCCTTCCAAGTAGCAAACAGCTAAGCATTTCCAAGCCCATCTCCCTCACATCTGGCTACTCAGCCCTAATCCCTCTCCCCTCCCCTCCTCTTCCCCAGCTCCTCTCAGACCAGCGAAGGGGTAGTGGGCAGGCAGAGAAGGTTGTAGGAAGATGACCCGAAAGGCTCAGATACCAGGTCTGTGTGGCCCAGGAGCTGGATGGGAGAAGAGGAGGAGGAGGAAGAGGAAAGAGGAAGATGAAGAGAAGGGGAGAAAGAGAGGGAGGAGGAGAAACAAGGACAGGACAGCGTTTGCACCCCACCCTGCAGAGACAGCAGCACCCTGCTTGTCCTCACCAGTGACCTCTGGCTGCGGCCCCTGTTGCCTTTGGCAGAGTGAGGGTTATCACAGGCAGAGGAGATGCTGGCCCAGGAGCCGGGCCAAGGGAGGGGCGCTGTACACAGATCATGAGAGAGAGGGTCCAGCTAGCTGTGCAGTGATGGAGTGGCTGGGGCTCCACCCCGAGGCCCTGACGGGGTGGAGGCTGCAGATCCAAGACATCATAGCAGGAGACACTGAGAGACTGGGTGGGAGTAATCTGGCCAGGAGGAGGGATCCTGCCGGAGGGATGATCACCCTTCCTTCTGACCTTCCTACAGCTGCTAACAGGCCCTGGTGACAGGGTACCCCACATGTGTGTGAGTGCACACGTGTGTGCACGTGAACCTCTGTGGCGGGGTATGGGGGCTCAGTACTTGAACAGAGAAGAGCAGAAGCCCCCACAGTGGCTTTAGCACAGAGCTTCATCTGCTTCATCTTCACAAAGCCAGGGCATGCTCCCTGGATCATGCTGGGCCTGGGCCCCAAACTCCTAGGATGGTTCAGCTTCTAAAGAATTCATTTTGTCTAAATAGACCTAGGTGTCCTAGTGCACACCTGTGATCCCAGCGTGCTGCGAGGCTGAGGCAAACAGATGGGAAGCTCCAGCCCAGCCTGAGCAGCTCAGTGACTTAGCGAGACCCTGCCTCAAAATAAATTTCTTTTAAAATGTTAAAGGGTTAGGGATGCACCTTAGTGCAAAGGCCCTGGATTCGACCCCCTGAGCATATATGTGAGGGTAAAAATATGAAGTATTTTATAAGGATGAAAATAAATACTTTGTGATTCTTTTTATTTTTAAAAAGATTTTTCTCATTATACAAAGAATGTCAACTTGGAAAATCTGGAAGCAAAATGAAACACGCCATACCACCACCACCCACCCTTCCAGCCGGCATCCTCCGTGCCTGGCTCACTTGGGGTCCCTGACAGGAAGACAGCCTTCCTGTTCAGTGGCGCATCATAGCAGATGCACATGCGGCTGGATGCACACACAGGCTCCCCTCCACAGCACAGGATTTCCCAAGTCCATTGCTGCATCCCTGGATCACTGTGGGTGGATCCGAAGCCTTCAAGGGCTGGGCTCGGGGACATCTGGACAGGACCCTCCCTGGCTTAGGGTGGCTTCCGCTGAGGCTGCCTGCCTCTCAGGCCCCCGGAAGCTGAGGCCCTGCTTGGTCTCTCTCAGCACTGCTGGCTCTTGACATGCGTTTCCTCCACGTGCCTGTGTGTTTGGTTTCCCTCTTTCAGCAGGAGCAAAGCCTACACCTCTCTAATAGTTCCCTGGGTACCCTCGGGAGCCGCCTGACTCCTGGCCATGCTCCGAGGCCGTGCCTAGCACTGCCACACTGTCCCCAGCCCAGGGCACTGAGGCAGAGTGTGGGCTGGGGTTCCCAGGTCCTGGAAGGTGGCATCTGGCTGTTTAGATGCGAGGTCCCAGGGCTCAGGCACAAAGTGACATGGTATTGGGCACCTTGTTTGGTGCACTGGTTTTCCTGTTGACCTGTGCTCAACCCCACCCCACAATCTGTGCTGTCGCAGGACCTGATGGAGAACAAAGCCATGTACCTGCACACCGTGAGTGACCGGGACACTGGCTCTGTCTTCGAGGAGCCCTTTGACGGCCGGAGCCTGTCTAAGCTGAACCTGTGTGAGGACGGTGAGTGCTTCTAGGTCCATCTCAGTGCAAGATCCGCCTGCTATCATCCCTGGGTGCTGGTGAGCTGGCTGTCCAGTGCCATCTGTGCTGCCCTTCAGGCCTGGAAAGGTCTTTCGGGCATGTTCCTCAACACTCACCTCGACCGAGCTGTGCAGCCGGCCAGCTAAGTTCACCTCTGTAGATGGCTAAGTTGTGGCTGAACATGGCATGGGGAACCCACAGAGAGGTCCCAGGACAGAGGCTCCTTGCAGCTTGGCCAGGGAGAGAGAGGCAGGGACCAGATGAGGGTGTCCAGCCACTCAGCCCAGACGCTCTTGGTAAGAGAAGGAGCCTTCAGCCCAACTTCCCAAAACATTCATGAAGAGATGGCATGCCAGCCCCATCACGCAACAGGGAGGGAACCCCGAACGTGCCACATCTTGGGGGCCTAGTATTTGCTAAAGCCCTGGTAACCCAGTGGTGCCCCTTGCTGTAAGAATCCTGGAGCACTTTGCCGGCAGCTGGTCCCAGCGCTCCAACAGAGAGCTCAGCGCTGAGCAGGTGCTTAATAAATGCCCACTGCTGATCCTGAGCAGGGGCTTAATAAATGCTGATGTAGGAGGGGAAGTGGAGTAGCTTGCAGAGGCAGGCAGTAGCTAGCAGCCCAGCAGGGAGAGGGGACAGTGTGTTCCCGTGTGTCAGATGTCATGCTGCTCCAAAGTGCAGTCGGACCAGTCCCTGCCCTCCAGGGCTCAGGGCTGCCTGGAGAGGACGCTCCAAACAGGAACCAGGTGGAAATGCTTGTGGGTGTAGAAGCCCAGCAGGAGGAAAGGCCTTGGAGACTGAAAAGGATTTTATAAGAGAAGATGTAGGGAATACTCCTGCCAGCTTGTTACCTGTGGTCAGGAAGAGCGAGCAAGGCTGGCCCTGCTAGGCACAGCGGCACAATGACACCAATCCTATGTCCCCACCATACATCAGGAAAGGGATATCATTTGGTCAGAAAGAACTGAGGTCCGCACAGTGGGGTGACGGGGGGATCATTGTGGCCAGCCTGGGGATCTAGGCTCCCCAAGGGTGGGAAAGTAGGGTGTAGGAAGCAGAGGATGGGGTTCCCTGTTGGGGGCCTTGGTGACCTAATCTGCCAAATGGGATGCAGAAGGTGTCACTGAGGTCCGTCTCGTTTCACAGTCTGTCTAGAAACGGTCGCAGCTGTTGCATTAGGGACCTGCTCTGCTTCCAGCTGTGACCAGAGCAAAGGCTGGACAGGGGGCCTCTCTGTCTTGTTCACGGCTACCTCCTGCTGGGTCCAGCCCAGAGCAGATGCTCACTGAGACTTGCAGGAACAAGCTAACAAATGATGCCAGAGCTGAGGAACAAATGTACAAACTCACGAGTGAATGCTTGGGCAGCCGACAGAATGGTCCTTAAAATCTCCAGGTGGCAAAGCAAACACATTCCAAAGCTGATTTCCACATTTTCTCCCTCTTCCACACTCTGCCCCTGGCAGGCAGGTGCCGGGAGGGCAGGCAGAGCCGTGTGGAGATGAGCCCAGCTTCTGGAAACTCCGGAATTCTGGCTGGATGTCCTCCTTCCCTTTCATTTCTAGGAGAAAAATGGGGAGCTGGACTTGGGGAAATTGCAGCCAGCTTGATCTCTCGCCAAAGGGCTTCGCTGCTCCTTTGATCTCCATCTCAAGAAATAAAACAGAAAGAGGCGGAAGGTTGGGCCTGGTGGGGAGAAGAGGAGGTGGAGGAAGGGGAGGGAGGGAGGCTGGCCAAGGCCACCCCGTGTGCTTCACAGCGAACCGCAGTGTCAGGTCCGGGAGGGGTGCCAGCTCCTCGGATGCAGGGGGGGGGGACACTCACTTCCCTCACTGAAGGCTGGCCCTGGCATCAGGTACGGGGACCCCAGTGATGGCGCGGTGTGAGCATCGTGGTAGACAGAGTCGCATCCTGGTAGGGCCCATCGGGGCCCCTTGTTCCTCCCTGGCACCCTTGAAATGAAATTCAAAGGGCCTGCCTATCGCTTCCTATTCTGGGCCTCTGTGCCCTCCTGGAGCTGCCCTTTCTTCCTCACCCGATCTACTCTGCCTATGACACCCCAGTCTTTGGTGGATGGTACCCCACTCATCACTCGGTGGAGCACTGCCTTAGAGCCCCGACATCTCATTTGCTGTCTGTGTCCCTGCTGGGCTGGGGTGGTCCCTCGCCTCCCTAGACAGCAGCGAGGCCCTTAGGACCAGGGAGGGCAACCTGTGCTTCTCTAGGCTCTGCAGAGCCATGTATCGGGGGTACCAGGAAACCTTGGTGACTGTTAGTACTTGGTTACTTTGGGGGCTGGTTGCCCTTTATTTTATTTTGTTTTTGTTTTAAAGAGAAAAAAAAATTTCAAAACAAAATAATAGGAGGAAAATCATGGTTAACACATTGCATGTTATCTTTAACAATAGCTACTCAAAGTATAAGATATCAGCATTTAACTGCCCAAACATTAGTAGCACAAA